GGGGAATGGTTTTTGTCAGGTTTGGAGAGGAAGCCCTGCATAGCGACGCTCGATGAAGGAGCGATTGCAACGTGTGGCTTGGGAAAGATGAGTCCCACCACAGGTGCTGAGACAACCTCCAAGTCAGGGTTGGCAGTGTCCTCGTCCCAAGGTGTCTTCCAGGCTACGATGACGCCGTGTGCTGTCTTCTCTCACTGTGCTGTTGCGTGCAGCAGCATTTGAAAATTCTGCTTTGCTGTGGGGACAAGCGGCAGGTGGTTCCTCAGCGTCGGGATGCATCACCCTTTTAATCCCCAGGCAATTTCAGGGGTGGTGCAGCCCTGGGACAAGCCAGGGAAGCTGTGGGATCCCCATCCATGCTGGTACTTGAGGATCTGAGCACCCTCCCATACACCAGATTTTTAACGCGGGTCCGTTCCCGTTGGAGTCACCAAAGAGCTCATGGTGGAGGTGGCCTGGGGTGCATTAAGCAGAGTGTGGCCAGCAGGTCGAGGGAGGTTCTCCTTCCCCTCTGCTCTGCCCTAGTGAGGCCCCATCTGCAGTGCTGTGTCCAGTGCTGGGATCCCCGGTTTAAGAAAGATGAGGAGCTACTGGAAAGAGTCCAGCGGAGGGCTACGAGGATGAGGAGGGGACTGGAGCATCTCTCCTACGAGGAGAGGCTGAGGGAGCTGGGCTTGTTCAGCCTGGAGAAGAGAAGGCTGAGAGGGGACCTTAGAAATGCCTCTAAATATCTGCAGGGTGGGGGTCAGGAGGATGGGGCCAGACTCTTTCCAGTGGTGCCCAGCGACAGGACAAGGGGCAACGGGCACAAACTGAAGCAGAGGAAGCTCCAGCTGAACCCGAGGAAGAACTTCTTCCCTCTGAGGGTGACGGAGCCCTGCCCCGGGCTGCCCAGGGAGGCCGACCATTCTCTCATTCTGTGATTCTGTGATTATCTCTTCTCCCCCCCCCAGACTGTAGTGGGGGGAGCAGTCCGCAGGAGGGACCAGACATGAGCCTTCGGGTTTGACCCCGGGATGGGGAGCGGGCTGTGCATGGGTGAGCCTGGCTTTGAGCTGAGCCTTCAAACTTTTGAACAACCAGGGAATTACGAGGTGCTGCAGGACAGGGTTTAGCATCCGCCAGGGCAGCGGTTACCCCAGTGTCTGCCAGCCCTTCCCCTCCACAGTAGAGGAATGCATAAAATATACGTATGTATGCATGCATATATATGCATGTGTGTGTGTGTATATGTGTGTGTTTATATATATTTTTGCCAAATTACCAAGAAAAAACAAAACCACCCCATCTGCATCAAAGCATCCAGAGGTGAAGATACCTCCTCCCTCTTTCTAACACACTGCCAGCAGCAACTCCACGTGTCTGGGAAGTGTTTGCCAGAGCAGAACAAATTCCCATTTAACAGCACTTCCCAGGACAAGGCGCTTCCCGGCAGGGCCGGCCGAGGGATGCTCCGCGCTGGCTCTGTGCTCTGGCACCTCCCCGTGAGGCCGAGGGAAGGAAGAGGGCTCGGAGGCAAATGTTTTATTTGCATTCCCATTTATTCTTCCATTACCCATGTGGCAAAACGGTTGCAGAGAGCATCGCTAGGCAAGGAGGAGCTGCCAAGTCTGGGGCCATGCTCGTGGTCCCCATCCAGCGAGGCCGCGCCGAGGTCTGGCCATGCTCCTAGGAGCTGCCAGAGGTTCATCAGATGTTGGAAAGGTCCAGAAAAATCCCTTTTCCCTTAGAGGAAAGGGTTTAATCGCACATGAGAAACTCACTGCTAGAACATGAGGTTATTAAAGACAGCAGTGGGACTGAGCACCAGGCTATTAAAGCCACTGGGCTACTCGCAGGTGGATTCTCTGCTGGCTAATAAGGTACAAATGCGCTTCCCGCACGTGGCACGTACATCCCTTCGTTTTCCCACCTGGCTTCTGCAGCACCTCCTAAGGGCTGAGCTCATTTGCTCTCTGAAGAGGGGAGAAAGCAGCCATTTGATGGCAGGAAACTTGGACCTGTCGGGATCCAGCTGGCCCCAGGGGTTCAGAGGATGGCAGGGAGGAAAAAAAAGGCCCGTGCAGCCCCCTCGAAGCACGCTTCCAGCCAAGCAGCGTCGTCTTTCCCTGCGGCTCTCGGGGTGAGGGCTGCAATGTCTTGGTGGAAGCGCTCGGGCTTTGCTCGAGGGACAGCCCCAGCGTGGTTTGGCTGCTTGGCTTGTCCGACCTCCCCCAGGGAGATGTTCCTTGGGGGTTTGGGTAAAAGCTTGCTCTTAGTTCTGTTTGAGGCTGTAGAGTGGTCTCAGGGGCTTCAACAGACCCTGGGGTAGATGAGGGCAGCTCAAGAGCCCTCTCGCGCAGGAGATACCCCCAGAGTGATGAGTAGGGGTGCTGGAAAGAGCTTTTCTTTTGTGCAAAAGCACAAGTGAGCCAAAGCTGTTTGCCGGGGTGAGTGAGTGCAGGCTTTCCCAGCACGGGAACTGGGG